AAAAAATATATTATTACTTTTGAAACATAGCATCTAGAAAAATGAAACCATAAACAGTCTATATAAGAGGCCTTAATGAATACACTCAAAGTAGTAACTTGTTCATACCTGGTGCAGAAGTCTCAAAAAGGTGGTTACAAAATTAATATTAAAAAAACTAGTTTTTGGCTATTATCTCAGTCATTTCTCATTACATTGACACGAGAATAGTTTCAGTCCATGTAACAAACAATACACTATTATGATTCCAAGACTTACTAGCTAACTCCGTTCGAGAGTCTAGAAAAGGTGGTTACAAATAAAAATGGAGGTCTTCTAATTTTGTCATGTAAACATGAGGCCTGTTGACAAAATGAAATGAGAATATATTTATTAGGTCTACTGAACAAAGCAAAAACACCTATATACCTTCTTTCACAAAAATAAGTGAGTCAAGAAAATTCTTGAAAACAGACAGAGAGAAAAGCGCCAAGGATAGAGCTATGCTGGTTATGACGTTTACAGGTAAACTTCAAAGAGTTAATTGGATACCGACTTCCTGTTTCATATCCATGTGTGTATGTAGTATCTATGGTGCAGTCTTGCTCTTCCAGTCGTCCTGATAAGCAGCACAGTAGCTGCTGTCTTCATGAAGGCCATCATTATCAGAAAATCTCGTTCTGTAAGAGAAGAATAATCAGTTTGGGCGCGCCTGCATGCTGTAAACTATCACATCAATTAAAACTAGAAGAATGTAAAACATTAAGGGGCTCAGGCCCCGAGCCACGCTGTTGTTGTGCTGTATGACCTTCCTTGAGAAGTCTTTGGATAGCAGTTTTGTCTTATCTTGCTGAGCGTTTGCTGCAAAAGTATTGACTTGCTGACAGCCACCATTATTATTTTCATTATGACCACACCCGCCAAACTTAATAATAATTATTATTAATTTTCTATAAAATGAGAAGTTGGAAGTTTTTGTGCAAGTTCAATCCAATTAAAATTTAAAAGGCAGTGCTCCTATTAACAAACCAAACTATATCGGAAATTCTTGTTCCCAATGCCTATATATGTATGGATACCCTATAGCTAGTACTAACCTATAATTTTTTTGTTTTCCATAATCATGATAAGCATGATGGCCACTTCTGTCATACCCAATGTCATAAGGTGTGTGAATGTCATGTACACAAGCATATTTTGGTAGTTTGTGTGCAGCATTATATTATTATACAGAATTTTGGAGCATATAAAAAGTATACACAATAGTATAGTATATAATGATGCATATATAGTACTGTGAATTAGGTATGTCATAAGGTATGCAAAAGTATACTTATTCCCTTCAATGGGGATCAGCACGATATACTTGTACATTTGGTGTGTAATTTTGCATGCAAAATATAATTATTATACCAGTATGACTAATCTAAAAGGTGTACACAATAGCTCTGTAATATTTTGGACCTTTTATGATGATGGAACTACGTTACATGATTTCATTAAATCTTGGAATTTAATGGATGCATTAGCTGGAAGCAATAGGTGACTGTTTTACCTGATAGTGTGACCTACTTCTTGCTATCATGTTTCACACCTTTTAATTTGTGTTAGTTCGCAAGAATTGAATTCTCTACTACTAAATAAATCTTTGAAATTAAAATTCCACACACAAATGCATACATAACTGCAATATAAATGCATATACAGTAGTCATTTGATGTATAGTTCAATGATATCCAGTAGAATGCCATTGCCTGAACTCAATGTGGATCCACCATGGCACACTGCCAGTCTAACATCATCAGTGGTTTGTGTATCCAGTGAGCGATAGAACCAAGGCATCTTAGAGTTAGCTGGACAGCAGGTAGACTCTGGGCCATCACATTGCTGTCCATCCCATAATGGATCAGTAGCATAGAGAACATCAGAAGCTGACTGACCAGGATCTGCTCCAGACTCACAATAATAATGAGACCCAATGAATGTAGCATTAACATTTAAACCACCATTGTACCCAGTGTTACATGGACATGCACGGGTATCAGTTCTATCTTCACTTTCTCCTCCTATGTATGCCCAGATAAGATTTTCAATGTTGCTTCCATGAAAAATCAATGCACCACTAATGCGTCTAATCGAACGAAAGAAACGAATTGCATAAGCAATGCCTAATTGATATCCTCTAACTTGTCCACAGACTTTATTGTATGTTAGTCCATTAGATGAGAAAGTAGTTGAAGCACAGGCAAGACCGTTAACTACTCTACCACACAGTGGGTGACTGATGTTGGTAAAGTTGAATTGTGTTAGTCCAGTTGGGCAGGTAGCACCAGACTGGGTCATATTAAGATATCCTACTCTAGTCCAACCACCTTCTCCATCACAGTTGATACCATTCATATCACAGTATACCTGTACAGTATATCAATGATGAATGAATCATAGCAAGTTATACTAACCTCTACTGGGGCCACTCCATCAGGATATATAGTGTAGTTACCATTGATAGTGCTACCTTTGCTATTCAAGTTTTTACAATTTTTTTCTATTGAAAATTACTAAGCAATAATAATATTACTTGTTTCTTTACCTGATGGACAAGACTTTGGTAGTATGCTTGGACAGTGAATGTATCTATTGATGCCATTCCCTTTGATAGTAACACTCTTTCCCAAGTTATCAATAACACAACAGACTCTTAGATATAATAATAAGGACCCAGAGGTATCTTGATTAGTACAGTCAGTAGACATACAGTAAGATCCACTGGTTGTACTACTAGCATAAAGAAACAGGGACAACAGTAACGTCACCTTCATCTTCTTGGCTTTATTTATAATTTTTTCTCAGCTATTGAAGTTGTTCAAGTATCAGCTACTCTTATACTCTATTTTTGGAATTTAATTTACAATTAGCAGGGATTATTGGGACCAGCAGTGCTATTGTTTCTCAACTGGAAATTTAAGCGCAGATTTTGTAAGACCATTGTTATTCAAAAATTTCCCAGTATACCGTATACTGGGAAATTTTTAAATAGCCAAATTTTTGCAAATTTCATGTTTCTTTGCTTCGTTACAAAATAAAAATTGGGAAATTCTGCATTTTCATTGCCACATGGTGCGGTTTGCAAGCTATTCGCGAAAATTTTATTTTGTGAAATCTTAAAAATACAAGATTCACAAAAAAATTAGCAGCGCAAAAGTATACAGTAACAGTAGTTCAAGCTAGCACAGTTTAGTTCGGTTCACACTACATAGTTGAACTGTGCTTGCATGAGCTGTACTGAAATATTATAGTAAGTCGTTGGTTTAGTATAAGAACAAGTGAACCATTCATCTGACAGTGTATACCAGGTCCATGTGAATTGGGTATAAGCAAGAGTAAATCATATCTAAAGGTATTTGATTTTTCATACCTTTAGGTATTATTTATTCTTGGTCTAAGTTTGTTGACATTTGTATTTGTAATGCCTATCAGATATTGGGATACCAACTTGGCCTATATGGTAAGCCTAACACTTCCCTTGCCTTTGGTGTTCCTAATTTCCATGAAAGTATGTTAATCTGAACAGATTATGAATTCACCTGAATAGTAACAGGTGTAGGTGCAACCATTCTGGACATAACTTGTCTTTTGTTGACTATGAGTAGGACAAAGTGCATTCCTTAACTATTAAATCATTTTCTGCCTTTTAGTTCAATGAAAAGGTATCATTTAGGCCTCTCCAATAAGATTCATAGTTTCCCATTACAGAGGCAGGCCTGATGCGGGCGGGCGGGTTTGTTCAATTTTATTAAATTTATTCATTATCAGCTGTATAAATTGCTTGTATAATCAATGCAAAACCGCAATAATGAATAGCGATGCGGGCGGGTAATGGGAAACAAGGAATCAAATTGGAGTGGCCTTATTATGAATCTATTCCTCAAATTACATACAGATATATAAATACTTCAGCACTAACTGATATACCATGCTCATGACTCATGAGTATACAAGAATGATATATAGGCAGCCATTGAAGAGCACAACATAAGTGGGAAAGAATTCCTGTCACTTGCTTGATTGTATGCTAACATAGCACTTGTAGTGATTCCAAGGGGTCTGAGCACCATTCTGAATTTTGAGTAACCAGTGACCCCTCAAATGTTTTCACCTACATATCAGATAAAGCAAAATATTTTGTAGTTCCTCCTGCAGAGTAGTAGCTATACTGGATTGTAGCATTGTGCATGGATGAGTTTTATTATGTAAATAGCATTACTGACATGCTTGTAATCATTAATATTTTTTATATAGTATAATCTGTATGTGAACATGCATTATGTACATGTAAATATATCAAACTAATTTACATGCTGAAACAATACTGACACATTCATTAGCTGTCATTTGATGTATAGTTCAAAGATATCCACTGGAGTATGTCGAGTCGCTTCCGTCTCACTACTGCAGAGTCTCAGCTCAATATCATCAGTGGTTTGTGTATCCAGTGAACGATAGAACCAAGGCATCTTAGAGTTAGCTGGACAGCAGGTAGACTCTCGATCATCACATTGCTGTCCATCCCATAATGGATCAGTAGCATAGAGATCACCAGTGACTGACTGAACAGGATCTGCTCCAGACTCACAATAATAATGAGACCCAATGAATGTAGCATTAAGATCTAAACCACCACTGTACCCAGTGTTACATGGACAGGCACGAGTATCAGTTCTATCTTCTCTGAAGCCTCCCACATATGCCCAGATATGTTTACGAGGATTGCTTCCATGAGTAATGGATACACCGTCAACAGTAAAATTTTCAATGATGCTACTGTTTTTGTCACCTGCATATCTATGAAATGCTAGGATCCTGAAAAATTGATATCCTCTAACTTGTCCACAGACTTCATTGTATGTTAGTCCGTTAGATGAGAAAGTAGTTGAAGCACAATTATTATTGTTAGCTACTGTACCACACAGTGGGTGATCAATGTTAGTGAAGTTCTTTTGTGTTAGTCCAGTAGGACAGGTAGCACCAGACTGAGTCATATTAAAATATCCTACTCTAGTCCAACCACCTTCCCCATCACAATTGATACCATTCATATCACAGTATACCTGTACAGTATATCAATGATGAATAAATCATAGCAAGTTATACTAACCTCTACTGGGGTCACTCCATCAGGATATATAGTGTAGTTACCAGTGATAGTGTTATTCAAGTCCTTGCAACTTCTTACTAATGTTATTAAAATTTTTATATGATAAAAAATTAATTCATAACTGTGTGTACCTGATTGACACGACTTTGGTAGTACTCTTGGACAGAGAATGTATCTATTGATGCCATTCCCTTTGATAGTAACACTCCTTCCCAAGTTATCAAAAGCACAACAGACTCTTAGATATAATAAGAAGGACCCAGAGGTACCTTGATTAGTACAGTCAGTAGACATACAGTAAGATCCACTGGTTGTACTACTAGCATAAAGAAACAGGGACAACAGCAATATCACCTTCATCTTCTTGGCTCTTGGTAGTGTCACAAAGTTATTGGGAATCCATATATAATGCATGATTACATTTCCTTTGAAATTTGATTTAAATATTGGGACCGGTTACAATGTGTATAGCTATAATAATTTATAGGCAGATTTTATAAATGACAAAGAAGATATCAAGTGTATGTGCTCTTAATAATTTTTTATAAAGTTTTGCAAATTAAATCCAATCAAAATGTAAAAGGCAGTGCTCCAATTAACAAACCAAACTATATGTTTATTAAGTTCTTGTTTCCAATGCCTATGTATGGATATCCCCACTAGCTGATAATAACCTATAAATTTTTCATTTTCCATAAGCATGATGGACACTTCTATCACATTCCATGTCATAAGGTATCATGCATATAAGCATATTTTGGTACTTTGTGTGCAACATTATATTATTATGCAGAACTTTGGAGCATATAAAAAGTATGCACAGTAGTATAGTATATAGTGAATCGTGATGCATACTGTCTATGCGTAGTATTGTGAATTATTTTGGACCTTTTACTGTGAACTATCACGTTACATGTTTTTATTCAGCTACAATTTTTGAATTTGTGTTAGTTAGTTAGTTAGTAAGAACTGCATTCTCCACTACTAATCAAATCATTATAACTAAAATTCCATACACAAATCCATACATAACTGCAATGTACAATGCATATACTGTTATAGTAGTCATTTGATGTATAGTTCAATGATATCTAATAATATGTCATTGCCTGATCTGAACCCACTTTTACACACTCTCAGTCTAATGTCATCAGTGATTTGTGTATCCAGTGAACGATAGAACCAAGGTATCTTAGAGTTAGCTGGACAGCAGGTAGACTCTGGGCCATCACATTGCTGTCCATCCCATAATGGATCAGTAGCATAGAGAACATTAGAAGCTGACTGACCAGGATCTGCTCCAGACTCACAATAATAATTAGATTTAATGTATGTAGCATTAAGATCTGCACCACCACTGTACCCAGTGTTACAGGGACAGGCATTTTTATCAGTACTATCCTCTTCTTGGCCTGCTACGTATGACCAGATATGATTTTTAATATTGCCTCCATAAAAAATGGCTACACCACTCAAGAAAGTTACTTGATTAGCTATAG